GGAATTGTTCATTATTATATGTAGCAATTGTATATATATGTCAATTCCTCTTGTTTATATACTCGTTTGTTTTAATTTATATAACGTATTTTTAGTTCATTCAAAAGAAAATGCCTTATTTTTCTTATTTTATATTTATTAATGGGAAGAAATATCAACAAAATGTAAGTGCTAATGTTATTTTAATAAAAGCAATTTGGAAAACCTTAGTTTTTCTTATTTCTTAAATTTTCTAACTAATCAAATGATATCATATACATTAGAACCAAGAGTGTATTATCATTTCTTAAATTTTGTAATTGATCAAATGATGGCATATATAGAAGCAAGAGTGTATTATTTTGATTCAAGAAAGTTTTACAAATATAGCTTTGACTCTATATCCAAAAGATAAATTTATGGGTTTTTTTATTTAATTTGTTCACATATACCGTCAACAATTCTAATTTAGAATCATTTTCATTGTATCTATGTTGTTAAATTATTTAGTATACTGGTTAAACTAACAAAACTTGTTTTGATTATTCGATTATTCATGAATTTCTCAATCAGTTACAACTTGTTGATACTATCTTCATTTGATCTATTTTATTTAATTGTTCATAAATTTTTCCAAATTAAGAAATTATTTATATTTAACTAAACATATGTCAGAGTTTTGAATACAATAAATCTTACATAGAAACATTACAAAAAACATACCCGAAGATTGAGATCCACTCGGAGATAAGATCGGAAACGTCAACTCTTCTGATTCTGACATTGTCTTATCATAGCCGTCAACGATGAAAAATATGTGAAGAATGTACTATGTTATAACCCTAATAGGTAAAATATAATCAATTTATAGAAGTCGAGACCTTGTTGTACGTTTATCCAGTACTCAATTTGATAGATGAAACTTGAGTCGTCAATATGGGCTAGGCCCGTTGGACTAGTTTGGCCTAATCCATAATTTAATAGGATTGGATTACGTTTTTTAAACCCATTTAAGAAAAAGAATTTTTAGTCCTAAATAAGCCTGCTCATTTATGGAGCTTGAGAAAAATGGATAGGGTCGGCCCGTGGGCCAAATAAAAACTAATTAAAACATAAAAATAAAACTGAGTATTAAATATAGATTAATTTTCACTAAAGTTGTCAATAAGGGTTAATCCATCCCACCCGGGTTAACCAATACATGCTTTAACATTTTACGGTCAGACTAGGCTAGCCAATTTTTTATATGGGCCAGAAAACGGTCGGCCCAACCCATAAGTACGTGGGCTACAGCTTGCCGAGCCAGGCCGCCTTTTTAAAAATTATATCTATTTTTTTATAATTATTAAATTAAATTATAATTTAAAAATATTATCATAAATATCCACAAAACAATATTACATGATGTTAATGTTACTACTTGTTAATCAAATCCACAAATAAAATTAACTTTATAATATTTATTAAAAAAAATTCAAATAAAAGTATAAATATCTAAATAGAAATATTAACCTAATTATTTTGAGTTTGAACTCTCTTTAATTCAAATTTTAATATTATAAATTATATTTTTAAATAAATTTTTGTTGGTCCATGGACCGGCCCTAGCAATATTTCTCAAGTCTCACAAATCAACATGCTTATATATTTAGATCGGGCTAAAAAGTCCTTTTATTAAATGAGCTCCAAAAATCTTAGGCACACCCTATTAAGTCCCGGCTTAGGCTAGGTCGACCCAATGGTTCTAACCCATATTGACGGCTCTAATTTTCACAGTTAACAAACATAAAAATCATATTTGTATGTTATAACTATAGTATGCATAATTGCAATTTTATGTTTGTCATGAAGCTTTTGAGTAGTATAATTTGCTAGAAACACCCAATTTTTTATAAATTTGTTCAGTTTTGTATAAATTCGTTTGTACATTGTACTTTGTATAATAAGATTTGTATTATATATTTATAAGCGTATAGGATGAAAATATATTTATTTGTATTTGCATATGCATATTTCTCTCACTTTGTACAAATACAAACACATTTTATACATTTTATACTGAAATATATAAAATAACTAATAGTATACCGAATCAAATGGTAAAAAAGGAGATGTTTGCTGCAAATTGCAATTACAATAAATTATGGCTATAATATTAATTTGTATTAATAGTTTGTTAATTCATACAATTTTCCCTTAAAAATAACAAGAGTCTTAATTCAAAATTTGTTTAAATTTCAAATATTTCAATTTAAATACAAATTATATTTAAAAAATATGTACTGCATAAAATAAAAATTCCTTAAACTTTCTAGGGAATCACTACATAAGCCACTGCCTATTTAATATTGTCATAGTTTTTATTTTTTATGACCATTGAAAAATAATTAGGTTAATATTTTTATTTAGTTATTTATATTTTTACTTGAAATCAAACTTAATAAATATTATAAAGATAATTTAATTTATGAATTTGATTAACAAGTGGTAACACTAATACCATGTAATATTCTCTTGTCAATATTTATAAGTAATATTTTAAATTATAATTTAATTCAAAAAATATACTTTTAAGAAAAAAGTATTGTGGGCCCTGCAAAGTCCATAGTCCACGTAGTTGTGAGCTGAGTCGACTATTTTTACACATAGAAAATGGACTAACCCATCAAATTTCAAAACATGTATGAATTAGCCCGGATGAAATGGATCTATTCATTTTAACAGTTCTAGATGAAACTACTTTTCATTAAATATTACCCAGCCTTGAGGCTGTTCCTGATGCTGGACTTCAGCAATGGTAGCCACTGCCTTGATCCACTTGGCTACATTCGCCCCTACCCCCGCACAGGTTGAAGTCTCTATCTACGATCAGATCCTTTCTGAACTCCCCTATAACTGCTTATCAAAGAGAAGCTTTTTCCTAGACTATAGTGGTATAGGTTATACATTTATTGCGCCACATATAATGATATTATATTAAAATAAAGAGAAAATTTCAAAAATGACAATCATATGAATATAACTAGAGATTTATAGTTATAATTAGGATATTAACAAGCCAAAGTTGTTATAAGTATTTATAGATTTCTTTCCATTATGAATGTCACCATTAAACCTTCAAAATTGAAATCTCAAACTAACACAATAATTTGAAATTTGTATCTATATAATCATTTTCAAAGTCATGTATATGTAATAAATTTCAATTTGTTTTGTCTTCCGAAACCGTTAAGGTAAAACTCTATTGATTTATTAAAGGAAAATGGTTTACAAAGGGACAATGGGATGCATTAACATTTTGTTTGGATCATTGTTACCCATTGTTTCATAATGTATTGTAGTACTCTATTGTACTGTGTTGTATGATAGATACAATGTTTGATTAGATTGTATTGTTTATTGTTGTTTAGTAACATTTTAATTGTTTGGTTTGATTGTATCATACTGTATTGTAATTTATAAATCTACTTAAATATCCTTAATTATTATAGGGTAGGAGGTGTGACTGTGTTTAAATAATTAAGGTAAAGGGTAAAATAGTATTTTTGAAATATCATGTAAATATATAATTGGAAAAAGAAATTAAGTAACAATGGAACACATCAAATTGGTTGTTTCATAAAATAGGGATTTCTATTGTTACGTAACAACGAAATTAAACAATACAGTATAATACATTTTAAGATCAAAACAAACATTATAGGTATAATAATGATACAATACAATATAATAGATAACAATGATTCAAGCATAGTGTAAAGGAAGCTTTGGCATTGGTAAAGCTTTGTTGACAATCATCACTAGAATTCTTTTAAGGCCCAATATGAGAACATGCAGATAGAAGCCCGTGAAACGAAAGAAGCCCAATTAGGAGGGGGCAAGAAGGAAACTTGTAGTTCTACTCCGTATCCTATAATTTCTTTGTTGGTTAATCATTTATATTAGGGAAAGTTGTATATATAATAACAAACTAATAACCTAAAATAAATGGAGTAGCTAAGGTTTGATTTAATTGTGCTCCATAGCAAACATTAGCTAAAGTTTGCCAGGTGTCTCTCTCCCAAAAATCTCTCCTGCTTTATACACAAAAGTGTATAAATTTTGTTTCTGTTTTAATAAAGCGAGAGAAAATTGCATAAACACATGCAAAATTATATATCTTCGTGTTATACACTTAATTATACAATTTACAAACATTTTACTTCAAATATTGAAGAGAAAAAAGCCAACGAATTATAAAATTGTGAATTATACAATTGCAGTGAAATACAATTTTCTCTAGCTTTATACAATAGAAGTGTATATATTGTGTTTCTGTTTTTGTATAAAGCGAGAGAAAAACATATATTTCTTGTTATACACTTATAATTATGCAATATACATACATTTTAATTTGATTCAACTGTATGCAAAGCAAATTTTATAAAAATATTGCAGCGAAATAGACAACGAATTATACAATTGTGCATTATACAATTGCAATGAAATAGGATAGCGAATTATACAATTGCAGCGCAATAGGCCAGCGAATTATACAATTTAGGCCAGCGAATTATACATTGTATATGTATAACGAATTATACAGTTTTATGTTTGCTATGGAGAGCAATTATGCAAACTTTGCTATAACATACAAATATGAATTTTTTGTTTGCTATATGTGAAAGTTGTCCTTTATATTATATATATAGATATTTGTTATTATATAACGACGGAAAACAATATAATCTATCCAAAAGTTATGTGCATTAAACTATATATATATAAGAACCATCCAAACAAGTGGTAAATAAAAAAGATTTTAACAGTAAACAAACAATACATTATGAAACAATATATATATATAACAACCATCCAAACAAGTTGTAAATGAAAACAATTTTAAAAGTAAACAAACAATAGAGATCCGCAGAAAGCATATAGCGAGACCAATTAAAGTACAATTCATTTCGTGAAACACGTTATAACAATTACTATTAAACTTAAATTAGTTTTTGAAGTAGTTGAGATTGTGGCTCTAATTATTTAAGCCACCATCAAAGGTATATGCTCTCAACGTTATCTTCTTAATTAATTTGTCCTCCCAAGACCATAACATGAGGTGTTTCACTATTATCTTGTTTTTTTCATCTATAGTAGCCGTGGGATTGGCCTCTGATGTTGAAGATCAAGGTATAATTAGCCAAGTAGTAGAAATTCACCGTCTAAGGCCACGAACTGGTTCTGCTGGTTATGCAGTCCCACAATTGGACTGTCTTAGCTGGCGCCTCGCTGTGGAAACCAACAACGTCAGAGACTGGAAATTGGTACCTAACGAGTGTTCAAACTATGTAGGTCATTACATGCTTGGCAAACAATATCGACGTGACTGTGAGGCCGTTGCTGATGCGGCAATTGAGTATGCCAAAGGCCTCAAGCTTAGCGGAGATGGAAAGGACGTTTGGGTGTTTGATGTTGATGAGACTACTCTCTCAAATCTTCCTTACTACGCTAGATCGGACGTGGCCTTTGGGTAACAACCTGCTTTTTCTTCCCTACATCAAAATTAAGCTCAGCTCAAATTACACGACTCACTTTTTTTTTTTTTTAATTCAGTCTAAAACATTTTTTAACTATTTAACATTCAGGGCAAAAGCGTTCAACAGTACGAGGTTTAATGCGTGGGTGATGGAGGGAACAGCACCAGCGATTCCAGCAACACTTCGTTTATATAAGACGGTGTTGTCTCTTGGGATCAAACCGGTTATCCTAACAGGAACTCCAGAGTTTACAAGAGAAGGAAGGGTTACGAATCTAAAGAAAGCGGGTTACACTTCTTGGTTAAAGCTCATACTAAAGTAAATACTCACTACTCTGTTTCAATTTATGTGACTCAATTTCCTATTTAGTTAGTATAAAAAATAACAACACATTTTTATATTACGGAGTAATATTTTGATTATAAAATGTCTATTTTATTATTAATGAAATGATTTACAGACACACACACATTTCTATCATTCATTTTGTACCTTAAATTTTAAAAAATCAAACTATCTCACGTAAAATGAGACGGATGGAGTTTTATTTCGGTACCCCAACAAGTAGTACTTTTATTCTTCTCTCTTTTAGAATATTGAAAATAATTAGATTTGGTTCGAATGCAGGGGAGAAAATGATTCACCAAAATCAGTGGTGTATAAATCGAACAAGAGAACAGAGCTGGTGATTGCTGGATATAGAATTGTTGGCAACACTGGAGACCAATGGAGTGATTTGATCGGAAAAAACGCTGGAGCTCGTACTTTCAAAGTCCCTGACCCTATGTACTACATTGGTTGATTTGCTTATAAAATTTTCTCAAGGGTGAATCAATAAAATTATATTTTTATTTATGATTTCTTTAATACCATGTGCTTATGTATAGTAATCGGTTAATATGAGATAGAGAATTGATTGACTGATTTTTTTTTATTGTGAAATATTAATAATTGAATGACTTTCTAAATGAAACATCAATAATTAAGTGTTTTTTGAGTTATAATATAAAATTGAGCGACTTTTTAAATAAACTATTAAAAATAGATGACTTTTTGAGTAAACTATTAAAAGTTTGAGATATTAACTGATATATAAAATACTGAAATCTTGTATTTGCAAATATGCACGACAAACTTCAACATCCAAATAATAATATTGTAAGTCACATGTGAAGAGCACGAAATAATCATTTGAGAAAACTTCGAATAGAGTAGACAACATGATTTAAGTTAACTATAGAGTGACGTCGCCTTTATGGACTTAATTTTTATTGTCTTTTGGTAAAGTGATAAAAGTTTCAAAAACACTATTTAAATTATTTGATTTTACATCAAAATTATTAAGAGTGAATTTTACATATGATTTATCACTTTAAGTTTGAGAAACACATATTAATAGTGTGTATAATATATCATCTCTTTTATTGCAAAAACTTTGTCACATCACACATGAATAAAATATTCAATCTTAACAAAAATTAAATAAACTATTAATACTGGTTAAAAACTAAAGACTTTAAAGTATTATTGTCTTAATTTCTTTTTAAAAAATAAAGTTGAAAATTTGATATTATCTTTTTAAAAATAAAATAAAATTCTACCCTATCCCATTTACCGCTTCGCTCCTAATTTATTTTTATTTTTCTAACTTTTTTTTGTTAGATTTGTATATATATTTTAGGAAAATAACCTTTTCTATTTATTATAATAAAATCGAAATTTTATTTTTAAAAGTCTTGCAACAAGTAAAAAAAGTGCTTTTCTAGAAAATAAATATCTAATACAAAAGGAAAAAAATATGAGAGCAAAGAATTATGTGCGGTGTGCTAGAAATATAATATTTAAATTATTAATTGATGGGACGGGGTGGGGAGGGGGAGGGGGAGATTTAGGTAAGAATTTTTTTAAAAATAAAACTAATAAAAGAATTTTAAAAAAATAACTAAAAAATTGAGGTAGGAGGAGTACATGAAAGAAAGTGATTAGGGTCGGGCATAAACACCGGAAAATTGAAACACCATACCGAATCAAATTTTTTTGATATTTCGATTTCGGTTTTTTGGTTTTCGATTCGGTATATGTTTTTGTATTTTTTGATATTTTGATTTGGTTTTCGGTATGTGATTTTGTGTAATTCTGTATTTCGGTTAACCGAAATATATTATATTATATTATAATATATATTTATATTATATTAATTATTAATATTAAATTATAAATATTATAATTTAAAATAAAAAAGTAAAAAGTAAAAGACTTTTTGATATAACTATTTTTAGTCCATTAAGCTGAAAATCAAACAAAAAAAATTGTAAATTTTTAAAAGCCCAACTAAGCATGCCCATTAAAAAAACCAAAATAACCAAACCGAATCGAAATAATAAAAACCGAACCAACAATATTTCGGTTCGGTATTCGGTACACAATTTATAAAAATCAAAAACCAAAAAAAAAATCGAAATCGAACCAAAATACCGAATGCCCACCCCTAAAAGTGATGGTGGGTAGGAAAATATTTTATTTTATAATTCTTTTTTTAGAGAATAGTAATAGTTTAATTATTTAACTCTAATCAAATTATTTGAAAATTATTAATTTTTTATCAAATAGGAATGTTTTGCCCTAGTGGAGTGTGATGTAATAATTTTTACCAAATAAAAGAGAGTGTGCATTAAGCATACCATGATGAGAGTAGGATTGTGTTCATGGTTATGATTAAAAATCTAACGAATCGCAATTCGTACCGAGTCGATAAAGAGAAATTCGATATTTAATTTGGTTTGATTTTAAATTTTAAAAATCGATGCTATTAAGTTTGGTTTGATTTTACTAAAAAACAACTGCAAAAAATCAAACCGAATCGAAAAACTGCAAGTCTATGAAAATTTTAGCTCAACTATTATAACCCTAAGTGCTAGTCTATCAAAATACAGTACTTCAGCTTATATCTAGTAGCGTACCTCACATAAGATATACACACTTTTCTTAATTAAACCATTTTGTTCGTGTGATAATAACTTTTGTTTAATTGAACTCACATTAGATTTTTCTATAGATTGTTCATGTGGTAGGTGTCCATATCTATCGAGATACATATGTCTTCAAAAAATTTATTACTTTTAAATCAAAAAAATCAGAACAACTGAACCAAAACGAATTAAAATCGACAATAACCAAATCAACAGTTATTTATTTCGTTTCATTTGGTCTTAAAAATTTTAAAACTGACTTAGATTGATTTGATTTTAATTTTAGTTAATAACCAATTCTAATCGAACCATAAACACCCTTAAATAAGAGTATGATAAAACAAATAAAGAGCATGATTTTTCAAATTAATAAGTAATAATTTAAAAATAAAACTCAAAATAATAGTTTAAATATATTTTTCACCCTCTTTTCGTAAATGTTAAACAAAATCCGCAAGTTGTTAATGAAATTATTATGAGGAATGGTTAATTCGAGACTTATAGACTATATAATAAATACATATATGTAAATAAATGGATAGCTAAACGTCAAGATTAAACTAATGATATGGGCTTAGACGTAGATTTTATGGAAACCGATCATCCTATTCTACTTTGTAAACGTGCACATCGTAAATGACACAAATTCGTTCATGAAATCAATAGTATAGTATTCGTTATTTAGTATTTAAAAACTGACTTGATCAATGGTTAAAATGCTTTCCACTTGAGTTGCTTCACTTGTCGTTGCCTTCCTCTTTTTCCGGCGAACCCCACCGCGAGGCAGCAACTCCAACACCATCACCGGCGCCTCTCCTCTCTTCCCCCTCCATGTCCTCCGCTCCCTTCCTCCCTCCGAACCCCCACCACCCAGAAACCCCGACCCAAGCTCCATATTCCATTTTTCTCCATAGCCAATGGAGAAACCAGAAGCTCCAAACAAAACCCCATCCCGTTTTTCCTTTACATTTTTTTTTTCATTGCAGATGAATGAACCAGGGAGCTATTAGCTCCAAAAAATCATCAAGTTTCGACGGGAAACAATCCAGATCCAGCGCACGATAGCTCCGAGGAGCTTTGATATTTTTCTTCAATTTCTGGTAGAAATCTTGAACTATTTTACCATTTTATTTTTATTTTTTTGTTCTATGTTGAATTTCATATTTCGCTCGAATATTTTTATGTGGCTGCTTGTTTGGAAATTTATTCTGATTACTTTTATTTATTTATCTTATGTTTACTTTACATTTAAGTTTACACTTCCTATTTTGCTAAAATTGTTCATTGGATATTTAAATAGTATTGCATTGTTATTTTTTTTTCTTTTAGAATACTTTTACCTACATTATTTTATATAGAGAGAGATAAATTCTTTTAGATTGTTAACTCCGACGACTATTATGTTAGCAATTTCATTTGGTTTTGTTTGATTTCAAAATAGGATAGTGAATTTTATTTTTCCTAGCGAGCTCCCTGCTTCAATCCTTATATCTTGGTTACTGTCACGTGAATGTTTGTTAGATTTGCTTCTAGTTTACTGTTATTTTTATTAGTTAATATAATTTGTTTTCTTTCAATTGTTAGTTAAATGATAACATATGTAAGGGCTTAATTCAATTAATGAAGGTTGGTGTTATATTTTAGTTACTTAGCTTATTAAATGTTGAAAGGGATCAATGAAAAATCTATCCGTCGGGTTAAGAGGTCTTTCCATTTTGAAAGACAGAAATTTAATTCAAGTTTATATATTTTATATGTTGAAATGGGCCAATGAAAAATCTATCCGTCGGGTTTAGAGGTCTTTCCATTTTGAAAGTTACCGTCGATTTCCAAGGCCTCCAATGTTAATAAGACGGATTTTTATTTTTTAGTTATTATTTGAGTTATTCATTTTTATTTATATTTATTTGGTACTAACTCTTCTACTAAGTTTCTATATAGGTACTCGGAGGTGCTTCTCCTTGAAATTATTCGAATGAAGTTCGAATCGTACTTTATTTCATTATTATTGGAATATTGATGTAGGCAAACTTTAGGCCGATTTTTTTAATTATTTATTTTATTATTTGTGCATATTGCATGTTTATTATATTTGTACATTATTTTATATTCATCCTCAATTTGAAAAAAAATGAATTCATTCACGAACCACAATTGTGGATTCCGAAGGGTGCCTAACCCTTCCCTTTGGAATAATTTAAACCACTTACCTAGAATTGAATTGGTTTCGTAGATCATAATTGGTTTTCTAATTTTCCTAAAATTAGGTGACGACTCTTTTTTAAAACTCGTTTATTTTTAAAACTTTGTTACAATTGAAACAATTAATTATTTTCGAGTTGCCGCGACGTTTCATCCTATTTCGACAGAGTAGGGATGTAAACATATATATCAATTTATTTTATATATATGTATAATATTTTTCGAAGTTAACGAATGCACATACGTCTCACCATTATATAAATTAACGAGTACACGTGCGCCCCTCCTTTACATGTGGATCCGTCCCTAATTGACCATATCGTCTCGATCTTAAAGAAGAATTAGGAGAATCAATATGTTTTAGCTCTTAGAGTTTTCAATTTGATTTTATACCCCTATACTATACGTAGCAAGAGAAATTATTTGAGAATATATTTTGAATACAGTAGGCAAGATGATTGATTAACCAAATAGGAACTCGTCTTTATTTTGTTGTCTTTTGGCTAAAATGCAGAGGCAAAAACCTCGAGATGGGCCGAATATATTTTATTAATGCAATAATTATGAAGACTAATTAGATTAGGAAAAATAAAAATAACACTACACACATATTTAAAGATGTTTTAAATATCAAGTTATAAATAAACTTTTTAATAATAAACTACTTATAGCATATTATTATCA